CTAATATATCTGCATGTTTTCTTACTGAAGTCCTACCATAAACATAAGAAAATGACCAAGAAGTAGCAGAACAAGCAATCAACAACTATTTTCTGTTTTAACACCGATTTAAAAGTCTGTTTCTACAAATCACCTCCCCATACTGCGACGAAATGTAATCTGTGAAAGAAATTAATCTTACCACTAGATGGCAGTAAAGTGCTGACTTTTCTCTTACCTGAATGTTTTCTGGTGAACAGAGATTATGTTACGCTATCCATCCATCCATCCATCTATCCATCTATAAAATACTATATATCATATAGTACCATATTTAGCTTATGCTAAGTTTTATTGAGCATCTGTGCTTTTGAACTTGTGCACCTAAATTAATTGACTAGCGCTTTAGAAATTGCGTAACTAAACTTTGAAYCAGCGCTGCCCACCACTGATGAAATGAAACTAAGTTTTCTCTGTTTGGCTGCAGTGAGTGTGCTGCTCTGCTGGCTGCCTTATGTCTCCGTGTGTTTCTACGAGACCTTCAGCGGTCGGCAGAGTCCAGCTGTCATCTCAGCCCTCTCCACCTGGCTGGTCCTGACCAGCTCYGCCCTCAACCCCTGGATCTCCTGCCTGACTCAGACGTAAGTAGGTCTGCACAGACCGGAMCCCGAGCTGACGGAGAGCTGCTGAATGAACACGTCTCTCTCTCTCGAACCCCAGCAGGTACAAGGAAGTCATGTTACGAGGGTTCAGGACATTTTGTCAGAAGTGCTCGGGGATGATGTCTCGTCCTCCGAACGCCGTCTTCAACCTGAACGCTGCAGAAACACACCCTTCACTGCCACATGCTGCAGTGATCCAGTCCACAGAGAACCCCTGCAGAGCCTTCAGTCCAAAGACAAACAGCTGCTGCTGAGAGGARCTGAGGACCGAGGTCTGACAGACTCAACAAGGACAGGAGGTTTAGATGTGGCCATTTTGACTGCTGAGTCAGCGTTCACACCAATAGCTACGTTTACATGGACATCAGTAATYGGATTAAATGGCCATTCAGAATAAAAATACATCATGTAAACACCCCATTCAGATTATTCTGGTCCGACTCACCTCGATCAGAATGAATTTGTAATCGGAATGARAGAGGTGGTTTATGCTGAATGATAATCCGATCAGATTGTGTCCATGTAAACTATACTTTTGGATTATTTAATCCAAATTCATTTCAATCTGATCAAAGAATTTTGCGCATGTAAACATAGCTACTGTTGAACTGTTTATTTACTTCTGCAGACGTTGGGCTCGTTCAGGAGATGGGCGCTATGAACTTTGGTTTTTTTAACGTTTCAACTTTTAATTGTATTTATATAAAAACATTGAGATCTCTACGGTTATTTCAAAAACCTTTTAAATCCACTTCAGCTGCTGTTTGTTTTTGTCTTAAGCTACTTTTAGCTTCAGTCTTGCTTATTTAGGCTTTTAGGTATGGTTTAGATCAGGGGTGTCAAACTCCAGTCCTCGAGGGCCGCTATCCTGCATGTTTTAGAGGTTTTCCAGCTCCAACAC